GCCCTCTTCCTTCCTCTCTGTAAAAAAATCAATAAAATATATTTTAAAAAATGTTTTTCTGAAAAAGTACTTTGTTTTCCAAAATAAGGTACTTATGAGAAAGTTACATTATTTACAGTTTAAAAGAAACCTCTTTAATGCCTGGCTTAATTAGACACTGCTGAATTTTCATATCCACTTCTGCATTGAATCTGTTGTGATATGTGGCTTTGGCTGAAGAAAATTTTTTGACATGAGGTATGTAGTTGGAAAAGGGAGAAGCACTTAGAACTAGCCATCAATATTTGGTGAACATTGATACAAATATCTCTCTAAACAGAAAATGTATTTAATTTGGCCTCATGCTATATTTATAGCAAGGAAATGGTAGAAATTATTGTACAAAAATGGGATCATACAATCATGCCATTTTAAAATAATAAACTATAATGTAACAATTACTTTATTTATATAAAAACAATAGTTAGCATTTTTTCTATTCCAGATAGGAATATATCTTTTAAGTTTTAGTAAAAGTACATATATGATAAAATAAATAAAATTGACGAATATATTATTAAATATGATTTCCCTTTAATAAGCCATCTAATAATAATAAAATTACGTTAATTTCTATCTGTATTAACTCCATGCAAAACTAGATCATGACTATGTACCGTAGCTCATGGAGTAAGTGGCAGATGGGGTATCTGGCTTTGTCCTGTTTTTCTAGTCTTTCTCTGCAAAGCCATCATTGTCTTTGCCCAAACTGATCTTATACCCTGACATTCCTTCCAGTTTGCAGAAATGTAATAATCCATGCTCTTGAAGATATATTCTAGGTTCATTTTAAGTACAAAGACATAATCATTGCCATTTCTAGGTTCATTTGTTCCTTCTAATATATTTTACAAAGCTCTGGATGCCGGAGCCATAAATTAGCTGTGTGATTCTACTTCCCTTCCCTTTTTTCTGGGCTCTGGCTTGCAGCTGGGTTAGTATCTACACCATTTTTGGTGAGATAAAGAGCACAGTAATTGTTCTTTGAACTGAAAATGGATTTCACCTTCACTGGGTAACATTGTAGGTGCCCTGGGGACTCAAAGGATTACCCCAGGATACATCTTCCCCCTTCTCGCCTCTCTTCCAGTATTAGCAAGAGTTTTCATTTAAATAAGTTTCACATATTGCTGATTTTAATTTTCTTACTTAGTATTGTATTTTAAGGACTTTATAGAAATTGCTGGAATTTATTGCACATTTATTATTTTTCATTTTCATTGAGGAAAGCCACCAATTGTCATACTAAATGAGCTTTTATTGAAAAATATAGTTGTGTCAGTACAAACAGTTGTTCCCACTCACCTGATTTTCAAGAGGGTCAGATAACACAAAAGAAGCACAGCCTCCATTCTTTGCCTTCCTGGAACCCGTCTTGAAGAGGGACACCGCCTGCCCCATGGTGCCCTCTGGTGACCACAAAACTCAGTTTTGCATTTTGCTCGGGAAGAAAAAGTGTATCTCAGGCAGGTACTAAAAGCAGTCAAACAGAAAAAGGGGACATCTGTAATACTTTCAACAATAAAGGTAAATTTTTAAAAATCAGTCACACAGAAAGGTTTACAATCTGTGTAGAGCTGGCACCTTGTCTTTACTATAATAAATATATATTCTTCCTTTTAGTCTTCCATGAACATTTTGGGGGTTCACTAAAGATAATATTCTTCTTAACCTTTATAAAACACTGGCCTCTCGTTAGATCATAATTTACTGTTACTCTAGTCAGATCATAATTTCATTGAAATTATTTATTCTGTGATCTTTAAAAGTAGTTTATGAATTCTATAAAAAATAAGAGTTATTACTAGTAAGTCTATTTAAAATGAAATCATAAAATAAAACAAGACTGATATTATTTTAAAGCATTTAAATAAAACTGTGAATTCTAGAAATTTCTTTCTCCTTAGTCACTGTATTGGTTTTCTATACTGCTACAACAAAGTAAAACAAGATGATGTATTATCTTATAGTTTTATAGTTTAGAAGTTCTATATGAGTGTTCCTGGCTGTCATAGAGCTATATTCCTTCCTGGAGTTCTTTGTGACATTCAGGAATGAGTACAGATCACACAAAGTAAGTCATCTGGTAGAGATGGAAAGAACTGAAATTGTAAGTTAATTCAGAAAGGAAAAAGAACATTTTGATTTGAGGAAGCCGTTGAAGCTCTAGATAAAATTATTTCCTTGTCCTATTGTAAAGAGTAAATAAGCTAAGGCAGCACATTCTTTTCTCCTCTTCAGGAAACAGTGGCATGTAATTCTTCTCTTCTAAGACCCCGTGTAATTGGAGAATGGATTGGCCGAGAAGAGAATGATGCTGACCCATTAGCAGCCGAAATGCTACAGCCCCCAATTCCAAGAAGTAAAAATGAACAATGGGAAAGTGAAGATAGCAGCTCTAGCCCCACAGGAAGGTAAGATGAGATGGTGTCTAAGATTCTGAATATGATTAATCATTACAAGGTGAAGGGAAAATAAACCCAAGTGCATGTTTTTGTTGAAGCAAGTCTTAGCAAATTTATATAGAAAATTATGTTGGACTCCACACAAGATAAAAATTACTTTCTCTGTTTTAAAATTAGAGTGCTACTAGAATTGCTTTTAGATTTTGGTTTTGATTTTTTTTCCTTTACATCTAAAAAAATTACCATCTCTTTGTATCTAATACCAAATAGAGAAATAATTTCAAGGATATAAACTGTAGTTGAGATGTTCTATAATATTGAGCAGGGAATAGCTGACTGTTAAGAATTGAAAGAACCTGTATCTTTATGAACAAGTGTTTTCTAAATTTTCAGGTAGATGCCCAGAAGAGGGATTGCTGAGTTATATGGTAGCTCTGTTCCTAATTGTTGAATGAACCTCCATACTGTTTGCAATAGTGGCTGTACCAATGTACATCCCCACTAGCAGTGCGTGAGGGTTCCTTTTTCTCCATATCTTTTCCAACACTTGTTATTTCTTGATTTATTCACAATGGCCATTATAACAGGTGTGAAGTGGTATCTCATTGTGGTTTTGACTGGCATTTCCTGTATAGCTAGTGAAGTTGAGCATCTTTTCATATATTTGTATGTCTTCTTGGGAAGAGTGTTGATTCATGTCCTCTGCCCCTCTTATCATTGGATTGTTGGTTTTGTTGTTGTTGAGTTGTATGAGTTCTTTATTGAAGAACCTTCTTGGAGGTAAGTTTGCAAATATCTTCTCTCTTTCAGTTGGTTGCCTTTTTGTTTTGCTGAAGGCTTCTTTGGCTGTGCAAAAGCTTTTTAGTTTGATATCGTTAGTCCCATTCATTTATTTTTGCTTTTCTTTTCCTTTCCTTTGTGGTCAAGTTCATAAAAACCTCTCTATAAGACCAAGGGACATAAAACAGAAATAGACACAGACTATAGTATGGTGGTTACCAGAGGAGGAAGGGGTCAGGAGAGGATGAAGAGGGTAAAGGCAGGCAAATATATGGTGACAAAGGAGACAGGACTCTGGGTGCTGAGCATACAATGCAATATACAGATGATGTATTGTGGAATTGTATACCTGAAACTTATACAGTGGTATTAAACAATGCATTTAATTTCAAAAAGAATCTAAAAGGGAGAACTTCTGAGGTACAAGAGACATATAATCAACAGGGGTAAGAAAACTATTAAATGTATAACAGACAATACGAGGCAGTGTTAATGTGGACTATAAAGAAAAAAGAAAACCCTTGATTGAAATAATTTGTTTAGAGTTGGTAACAATGACTGCATATACATTTTCTTTGATTAATGTTTAGAAACTATTACGATTTATAAGTGTGAAAGTCCATATTTCACTTCACTCAGACCTATGATGCTCAGAATGGGTGACAAGAGATTTGCCTTTCGTTTCCAGAGGCTGGTAGAAGGGAAATGTTCAGATCAGATTTATTAGAAAAAGTATGTTTAAATAGCAATTGCAGTGAGTAAAACTCAAAACAAAAATGAAAACTTCTATAAGAGAGTTGGAGCGATAAAAGCCTTATGAAGCCTGGCATACACGAGGCTGAGAAATTGGATATAAATACCCATGAACTGAAATGTGGCTGGAGCTAAAACTATCTGTGAATGTTACCAGCGGAGCACCTTAGAAGAGTTTTTCCTGTGCATCGCATAGCCACAGTAACTTTGTATATCCTATGTTAAATTTAGCAGCAAGCAGTAACTATTCTTTCTCAAGGAGAAAATTGTATTTTCTACAATATAATAGCTTTCAGGCTTTTTTCACTTTGACTTACCACTTGGCTGGAGGGAAGGAAAGTCAGAATACTCATGAATGTGCTTTAGGCATATAGGAAAAATGATTCCATTTCCATGAGAAGTAACTTTTAAATTATTTAAGTAGTTTGAGTTTCCTATGTAAGGAGAATAAAACCATTTTAAAAAATCCATTTACCTTCTTTTGTAAAATGCCAGATCAATTTCACCTGTCAATGAGGGTAATTTCATTTTTAATGCCAAGCTTATGAAACCTGGTATTGCTTTATCTTTATTCATTGCTAGATCTTTAGTTCTTAAATATAAAATAGAGAAATGTCAATTTTCATTTTGCTTTCATTTAGTCATAATAATAATTGGAGCAATTTATTGCAAATGTTAGTGTTTCTATTTTCTTCCTAGCTTATGTGAGCTCTTATTTTCTCTTGAATACCATTAAAGGGAATCTTTCCTGCAGTTCTAGTTCAATCCTTTACCCATAAAAACTCAATCCATAAATATTTCTCTCAAATATTTGTGTAAAAATGTTTTCAGTTTTATTTTTCTCTAGCTTTAAATTATGAGTTGAGATATTACCTATGAAATGAAGAAAGTGGTGAAGTCCTGCCCAAATGCCCCCCAGTAGAGCTGAAATATAATGCATGCATACCTGAACTGGATTTAAAGAATAACAATAAACTATGGATGGGAAACTGTATCTCTCGCATCTTCTAATACATAACAGGATTTATGAATTTATACCAGGCACTCATATAGCATTAGATTTAATTTGGATGAATAAGAAGGGGTCGAGAAGAAATTTTTAAATGATTCTACAATTTTCAGCTTTAGTGTTAGCTTTTGTCTTTAAATAGTTATGAAATTGTACTATAACTTAACAATTATGAACATTCACAGACTACAAGATATTCTAGATCCTGAAAGAAAAGACTTAATTTTCAAAGATGACTCCTTCCATTTTCCTTTCCGCTAATGCAGTGGTTCTCAACCTTCTGGCCCTTTAAATACAGTTCCTCATGTTGTGACCCAACCATAAAATTATTTTCGTTGCTACTTCATAACTGTCATGTTGCTACTGTTATGAATTGTAATGTGAATATCTGATATGCAGGATGGTCTTAGGCAACCCCTGTGAAAGGGTCGTTCGACCGCCAAAGGGGTCACGACCACAGGTTGAGAACCGCTGCGCTGGGATCCACATGCTGTTGAAAATAGGCATCAGTCCTATGAGTGAAGGAGGCACATAGATGGCATCCCGTCGACGTGTGCTAAATGAGCCTACTTATACGAAGGATTGTTTATTGTCCATCTTAATTTTTTGTACTTTTTCCTACCTTGGTCTTTCCTGTTGTTTAATGCTCAGATCTTATTTGAATGTCTGTTGTGACTGTCCACCATCTTTGGTACATACCCAGCTTTCCCTTTCATTCAGATTAATACATACACCATAGACTGGACTTTCACCATTAGATTAGAGAGGATTAAATAAAAGCATAGTGAACCTTAAGAGTCTTATGGGTAGAAACTTACCCACAATTTCCTCCTGGAAGTTTTTTTTTTTTTAAATGATATTTCTTATATGAACTTGTTCCTTAGGTTCTGCAATACAGCATTGTATGAAAAGAATCAACAAATTTAATAAGCATTGCTGTGACTTGAAGGGTTAGGTGCTGGTTCAAGCAAAGGCAATTACTGTAGGAAGGAGATATGGAGAAACTATTAGAATGAGACAGAAGCTACTAACATAGAATCCATGAACCCTATATGGTCACTGGGTGGACTCAAGAGATCTTTGAATCTCTTGAAATTACATGGAAATGTTGTGTGTTTGTGCACATGGACATTTTCCTGCATTTTTATGCCACATCTTTCATAGATGTCAAAGTGGTTCTAAATAAAGACAGTTAAAGAAATAAAGCATCTGAGCTATAAAAGAAAGAGATCACAAAAGAGAAAGGGGAATATGTTGGGGAACTATTGAAAGTTTTCCACAGTTTTCAGATACAACGAATTGGCATTAATTGTTATGGCTTGTCTAGCCATTTAGGGGGGAAATATATATGTTTATTGCACATTTAGAGTTATTAAAAATAATCACACATTAATAATATAAACAAAAATTAAGTTTAATAAAACTATATAATTCTATCTTAAGCCATCTTAACTAGACTTTGCGAAAGCTGAGTAATGGAGTTCCCAAAATTACTTGCTGAATTGTAATGTGAATTTGTAAATAGGCTCATCAAGGCTTGAAAGCCTAATGAAGCTTCTCTAATTTGAGCCACCTTATTAAAACAAGAACAGTATCAATAAATAATATAGAGCTGGTGAATTGGCTTTATTTGCTAAATGAACATTGTTATTAGATGGTAAATAGGCCATAAAATGGATAGAAAATCTTACAACTTATAAATATATGTTATTAAAATAAAAGCCCAAATCTCTTCCCATTAAGAAGTTTTCCCTTTCATTAAAACTCATCGTTGCTTTTGCTATATCTATAAACAAAGGCTGGAAATGTTCCCCTTTCCCTAGAGTACCCTTTATTAGCAGCAAGAGACAAGCAATAAACAAGTGAATATAAAAATATCAGCCATAAATTCAAGTAGTGATAAGTAATATGGTAGAAAGTAAACCATAATAAAAAGGAAGAAAATGGATGGAACAAGGATCCTTAATACATATTGTCAGATTTTGACTGTGTAGATATGATAGAAATATAAATCGAACTTACTAATTTAGGAGTACTCTAAGCTGTAAATTTTAAGCATAAAGAATGTTAATTAATAAAAAATCTATCAACCAAGAACAGAAGCCTTAAAAAGATCTAAAACAACAAAAGTATACCTTATGACTCAAAAATTTCTATTTAAAGCCAAAAAATATGTAAGCCATGAATTTATATCAGGAGGTTGATGAGGTCATTTTTACATGTTCAAAATATGGACTCATAGACTCAGATGGGCTCTCGTTAAACCGTCATCATTTGGGTCTCACAGCCCAGCACTGTCTTTATGACCAAACCATGTATTTTAATGAGACCGAGGACAACAATTGTGCCCACCTTCATGAAAGGGTCTTGGTCACTGTTGGTTGATGAATAGGAGTCACACCTGCAACCTGCCATTTGTTCCTCATCTTCCACATTTCGACCTTCATATTTTTCCTTCTGTTTCATG